ACTTCTTCGGATGCAAGTGGGCTGTAGCCCACGAAAGCTTATGCTCTAATAAATTTGTTAGTCTCTAAGGTGCCACAAGTACTCCTGTTCTTCTTTTTCCATTAATAAGTGTAGACCTCAGATTCCTTTTTTAAATATGTTTCCACTCATTATCCTTTATCAATATCTCTTAAATCATAATCTTTGTTAATAAGCATATAAGTAGATTACAGTGCTGTGGTGTTATAAAAGGATCAGATCCTGAGATGTACCAGCCAAGCTGTGTGTACATTGTTTCTTTGGGGACAGCTTACCTGGTAATTATTGTGAGTGTCCAGTGAGAGGGACTGGATACTGCATGGAGCACTCCGAGGACTCGGGGGTTAGCCCTAACTGGCACAGAGAAGGCAAGCTCTGTGGAGACTGGGAAATCAGTGATTGTGGGACCAGAAGCTGTTGGTTTCAGGTAGGGTTGCCAACTTTCTTACCGAACATCCCTTGCCCGGTCCCTTCTCCGAGGCTCGGCCCCACTCACTCCATCCCCCCTCAATGTGTCGCTTACTCTCCCCCACCCTCACTCACTCATTTTCACCAGGCTGGGGAGGGTCCCTTTTCGACCAGGTGTTCGGTTGAAAATTGGATACCTTGCAACCCAAGTCTGACTACAGTAACTATGTGGGGCAAGCACTTGAGGTGAGAAATAGAGGCATTTTGAGAACTTTTAAATGAACGGGGAGTCAGTGGAGCTAATGAAGGATGCAGCTGTGGCTCTTTGTACCTGGGGCAACTTGGACGGCCATATCTGCATGTGTTACAGCCCTGCATGTTCTGGAGTCTGGAAAGAGAGATGGGCCTGAGGGAGGCCACAGACCAGGTCAGTGAGAGCAGTCTGATAGCTTCCAAGGCCAGAAGGGACCCCTCTGATCATCTAGCCTGCCTTCCTTTATAACACAGGCCATAGAACTTCCCAAAAATAATTCCTAGTGCATATCGTTTAGAAAAACCTCCAGCCTTGGTTTAAAGATTGCTAGCGATGGAGAATCCACCACGACCCTTAGTAAACCATTCTAATGGTTAATTACCAGCACTATGAAATGTTTACATTTTATATGGAGGCATGGGTGAGAACTCCACCATCAGAGCAGTTGAGGCAGTGGTGTACATGGGCAATGCAGTGGGGTGGTTACAGGCAGATTTACAGACAAAAGCGATGTGCAAAGAGCAGGAGAGCTCAAAGATGATGAGAGTGAATATCTTGGGGAAATTTGAGTCAAAAAAAGAAATAGCCTGTGGTCTCATTCAAGAGAAACACTTCTTCTTTTGGATGCTTAACTGGTTAGATCGGAGATTAAGCCATATTTCCTTGCTTGAGATAGGCAGGAAAAAATGGGCAATTAGTAAAGATCTGTACAGCTGAGTATTAATGTAAGGGGGTTGGTTAAGGTGACCAAGAGGGAGTTTGAAATCGCCTAGGGAAGTGAAGAAAATAATGTAATTACAGCTCTTAATTTTCTTGGTGCACATGGAGTGTACACGAGTTGATTTTAGAAACCCAGAAGCGAAATATGAATTTAACCCTGAGCCACTTATTTAATATTGCAATTGCTTCCTGCCAAATGGTAGAAACTAGAGCACACTGCAATCTGCTTGTCACAAGGTGGCATAATTAGTTAACACATCAGCCTTTCACTGCCAGACAGCTGGGCTCAGATCCTTTGAATCACAGCTGAGAAAAGTTGGGCAGCATCTCAGCTCAGCTCTTGTGGGAATTTGTGCATGTCATACAATTTCACATAACTAGAGGTCTCTGCTCAGGAAATGACCAGGACTGAAAAAATTAGCAATATTGTGAGCAGGAGAGGGATAGTGGTGGGTGCACCCAGAGCTAGGTTTACTTATGTCTGTTTCTAGCCGCAGTCAATATGTTGTTACAGAATTCTAGTGTTTATTAACTAATGCTATTCTATCATAGGCGATGGGTATAAGCCTTCCCGGGCATAGCTGTCACCAGACACCTGGGTTGTGGTGACCCTGCTCTGCCTCTTCCCCTTCCTGCTCTTCCCCAAGGCCCCCGCCACTGCCTGGTAAGTCTCTACTCTACTCTTCCTCTCCACAGATCCTTACTGCTTGCCATGTCCCTCCTCTCCTCCACCCCCTCCCCGCAAGACTCACCCACCTGCCGCTCGCTGCGTCCATCTTCATCCCCCTCCCGCTCCCAGTGGAGGAGAGGAGGGACACAGAGAGCTTGAGTGGCGGGGGCCTTGGGAGGGGGGGAATGCAGAGTGGGTAAGGAGAGGAGGAATGTGTCGGGTAGTGGGAGCCTCACAAGGGAGGGGGGAGGAGAGGTGAGGAGGGACGTGGGGAGCGGCGGTGGAGGGGCTAAGCAGGGAGGGGGCCTGGGCAAAGTAGGGGGAGTGTGGCAGAACTGTAGGTGGAAGAGGTAGGACAGGGAGCTAGCCTCCCCTAGGGGAAGCTTCACCCACCACCCAGATATTCAATCAGTATGTTGGGGGTCACTTTGATCTTGGATAGCTGAACCTTCCTCACCATGGAATTGCTCTTTGACTCCTACAGGACAGAGGCTAGAAGCGAGGGCTGAGGTCGGGCTGTTATCTGCAGTCATGCTTTTGGATCTTTTCTTGCACTCAAATACAACCAGGTCTTTGCATTGCTTGTGACAGTTCATTCCACAGTCTGTAAACAAGTAAAACAAGGTTTGTAGCATTTAGTGGTTTTGCTGCAACATCTGAGATCCGTTCCCACACTGTAAACTGCAGGAAACTGCAGAGGTCTTCTTACATGTTCTACAAGGCATTGTATGAAACCACAAATGGAAGGTAAATATACTCAACTGCATCCCTGTGCAATGTACCATTCAAACCACTTTTATACTGAAGATATCCCACTAGCAAACACTCAGCCAAGCACAACACATTACAGTGGAACTGGCCCAGGTGCCTACTTAATATCGCACGGTCACATTGTCTTCTCCCATGCAAAAGCCTGCAGGAGCATATTCAGAGGAAGGAAAACCCTGCAAGATTTCCATTGTGGAGCTCCCCAAATAGTTCTGTTGGGAGCTGGGGTTTGCCTCCCTGTGAAACAGGAGTGTCCATTACAGATCCTGTGGGGATTTGCAGAGGGCTAGGGCCATCTGTTGTGAGGTCCTATGACCTCAAACTGGCTGAGGGCCACCTGCTCCTCCTCCAGATCTCAGGCCATGGCTTCCTCTGCCAGCAGACACCCCTGGGATCTGCCTCCTTAGATGGGGGGGATTGAAGTGAGGCTATGGAAAAGGTAATGTACCCTCAGGCTACAATCTTACTAATTTTACAAGGCACCTTCACAACTATGCATTAAGTCAACAGAAAAGGAAGTAGTAATTACCTTTGCATCTATATCCTTGCTTAATAACTCCCCAGAGCTGGAGTTCAGGGACAAAGGGAAAAAAAGCATATTTGTGTTAAGATATTTCATTGAATTCTGGCATGTCAGATGACCCCCTCCAGGCATAAGAATGTGACAAAAGCCCACCCATTTGTTTTGAAGCCTGATACTTTTTCTTGCCAGTCAACAGTGTCTGCTGATCTGCAAAGAGGTTCCAGAATTGGAGTAGCAGGGGTCTTACAAGTCACGTCTATAGCGCTTTTGTAAAGCCTAGTCTCCAGCTTGTGACACGCTTTCAGGAGCCATCACTAACGCATATCAGACATCACCCCGTAACAGCATGATGCTGATCCCAGGAATCGGTCACCAGGGAGCAGCGCAGTCAGCTTGCCCCATCTTCCTTTGCTAAACAGGAAGTAGGCCCAGCTGCGCTCAGTGCTGGGCCAGTCCCAACAAACTCGGAGAGGGAGGCTCTAGGCTTTGAACCTCTTGCCTGACAGTGATGTAGCTTGAAACACGGCTGCCTTGGCAGCCAGAAGAACACAAGGCAGAGAAGCAAAAACACCACTAAGGAGGGAAAAGCCTCTATTGAAACATGGTCAATAGGACAATTTACATGTTTAATGTTAAGATTTCAATATTAAATGATAAATGTTTGCTTACTAGACTGAAGAAATATTGTTATGCTAACAGATGTTAAAGTAATGTACTTAAAAAATAAGCTTACAAATCCAGCACAGTTGTCACAGAACGTAGGCTTTAGGTAAGTGGTCTCTTGGAAGTTGTGAGCAAAGCCAAGACCTAATTTAGAATAGATCGAGCTAGCCCTCATAAAGTAAGCTGTTATTTCATCCCTGCTAATCAGACCTTCCCTGAAAATAAATGAGAGATATGGTTAATTGGGGCTCTGCTTTCCAACAGCACAAGGAGAGTTAACATCTTCCACCCCCAATGCTAACAGCCATAGATGTCAGAATTATTCAATAATCTGGTCTAGCGGTCATGGGTTCTACAGAAACTCATTTATCTATGAATTAAAATGCAATTTATACAACTAAACAAAATAGCTTCTTGTGAGATTCAACCTCACAACAGCTTCAGAACACTGCGCAATTATCAAAACAAAGACAAAAAAAAAAAAATAGAAGCAAGGGAATAATTCCTTCCAACAGGAATTCACACTGTTCTTTACAATCTCTAATGTGGTGTTAGAAAACGTGCTTTCTCTTAGGAGGAAGAAAGATATACACCAAGGATTTCTGGCAGAGTCAAATTTTAATTTTCTCTGCTTTCTAATGTTAATCCTTGCAGGCCAAAGAAACTCCAAATGACCACAGCTGCATTTTTCTATATTTTGAGGAACATTTTTGGCTAACACAGAAATCTGTTGTCATTTGGTCAAAACACAGGTTTCACTGGTCTGCGCCAAACATATTTTAGTTCTCTACATGGTCTTTAACAACGACAACAACAAAAGCCTGTTCTGAGACACAGTTTTACCTTAGAAAAATGTTCAATACAGTTAATGTTACTGAATATAATTCAACAAAATATTCTTTAAGATATTACACTTCAATTTTCTCCAATCGGTCTAACCAGAGTATTGGAGTCTCACAAGAGACAACGGTTTGATTTTGCTGCATGTGGGCGAGGTCATTTGCAACTAACTCAGAAGGTGCTTTTGTGAGTTATGTTTCCACTTTCATTTTGGCAGAGGGAAGGGTGATTTTAACATCTCTTATGACAACAACTATCTGTTACGAAGCTCACGTGCAGAAACAGATGTAAAAATGAGGTTCGCAGACACACACCTGTCCTTGTCCATGACACAAAATGAGAATGGAAAGCTGGCTGCAATCTTTTCAAATTCTTCCTGAGAAATGTATCCATCCTGATCATGGTCATAATTTTTGAAGACAGACTGGATAAGATGATAATAGAGGAAATTATAATGAAGTTGGACAACTTACTTATCACCTTTTTGGGAAAAAAAATTAAGTTCAAAATATATTAGCATCCCAGACAAAAACATATATTGCTTTTTAGTCATTCAGTGTAAAATAAACTTTAATGGTTTTCTTTAAAACAGTGCAAGGACCTTTCTCGCTGCCTGCCCTGCTTAAATCTATAGAACCATCGTACATTCTGGATTGATGTCAAAACCTAAAGGTAAATTCTAAACAACATGGACCAAATTCTGTATTGCTCCATAGTGTGTGCAACTCCACTACCTGGGTATGGTGGCACTTCCCTTCCCCAGATCCCTTTGTTTTTCACACTCAGCCCCTTTCCCCCCTCTAAGCCACTATGTCCAGGTCTACACACAAAGGTTGCGCCAATGTAGCCCTCTTTATTAAAGTGGGAGTAGGCGCGTGCATGTGCACACACCATCTCCCAGAGCTAGAGCTTTGTAGTTAAACCAAAATAGTTCCCCAGGTTATTTTATCAGGGCAGCTCTACCTTGGAGGGAGTGTTAAATCAATGGAGTAGCACCGTAGACACATGGTTTCATTAATGTAGCGACATCGGTTCAAGTAATCCTCCCACTTCTAGCCTACACTGCAGCAGTGACTGATGCACTGAGCTGTGGTGACCTTTCTGCACTCCCGATCTAGCCATCAGCTTGTCCCAAAGTCACTCGGACTTTAAGACGTTTTACAAACTCCCAAGAGCCCCATTTGCAAGCCACTAGAATGCCAAACCTTTCAGAGCATTCTTGGGTTCACCAAAGGGGCTATAATGCCTAGCATATTTGCCAAGACCTAAAGGTAGAGAATTGACTTCCTTGCTCTCTGGGGCAAGAAGCATATGTAAACAGAGCTCAGAAACTCTCACCCAAAACAAGGTCATCTGCCAGTACCTGTCACACAAGAGGGTAGCTCTGAGCTCAGGAGCTTCCTTCCGATTCTAAGTGCCTGCTGCCTTTGTTATTTGAAACCAGGCAGAAACAGCTATGGGGGAGGGCAGAAGTGTCCTTCCCTTCTCTATATCCCCATAGCTCCACTACAAACATATTGACCATTTCCCCTGCTTTCTCTGCTTGGTGTTTTCTGCCTTCTCCCACACATCACCACCTGCCACACACTCAGTTCGGGCTGCCAGACCCCACTGCCTCTCTGTCTCCTAGTTCCCTCCTTAAAAACGTTCACTATAATCCTCTCCGTGCCAACAAGGCTGTGCAACCCCAGTGATGTCTGCACCTGTGCAAGTGCAATGGTGTGAATGCACTTAATCAAAATACTTGGATCGATTTAACTACTCCAATATAACTTGCACCTGCACAACTTGTAGGTGTAGAAAAGCCAAAAGTTACTTTCTCTCTTGTAGGCCTCCAACTCAGCAAAGTACTTAAGCACATGCTTAACTCTGAGCTCAGGGGCAGTCCCATTGACATCAGTGGGACTGTCCACATACTTAAGTATCTGGCTGAATTAAGGCCATTTCTGCAACCCTTGCGCCCGTTGAGTAGCACCATTAAAGTTGATGTGACTGCTTGCATCTATTAAGTATATAAGGGTTGCAGAATCAGATCCTAAATCTTAACTTTAAAAGTTCCTCTAGCTCATCATAAATTCTTGTTATCTAGCAATTTGTGAAAACACATGTGAAACAGTGGCAGGGGCCATGGGACTTGAATCCTGGTCTGTAGGGTTCATTGGAGCTATCAGGTTCCACCTGCCCTTGAGAGCCCTACTAACTGTTGTCAGAATCGAAGCTGAACCCAGACAGAGTGCCCCAGTCCTGGAAGCTTGATTGGTCCAAAGTCCTATTTAAACCCAGCACAGGAACAGGAAGTTGTCCATACAACTGGGATCCACCTTGCTATGGACTGTGTGCTTCTGCTCTTCTGGCTTGACTTTTTGGTATCCTGACCTGTCCCAACTCTGGTTCCTGATCTGTGGTTTGGCTCTCAAGCTTGCCTCCTGACATTTGACTCCCAGTTCGCCCTCTGGCCTGTCTCAGACTCTGACTTTCTGATATGTGACCACTAGGTCAGATCGCCCATGTCCCAGTCGCGACAAACACACTGTATCAAAACAAACTTTAGCAAAGAATGAATGTGTGCTGCAGTTTAAATAGCAGTGCAGTTAGCGGATACCCTTTATGGGACTATAACTGCTATAATAAAATTGTGCTTTCAAACAATGCAATGTTTTTAACATTGTTTACAAATAGACTCAGCACAGTTTTGAAGATGTCTGGTTTTCAGTATGCAGCTTCTCGTTATATATATTATCATATACAGGATGTAATCAAACATATATGGTAAAATGGCCACTTACATCCACCATTCTCTGAACGTGCTTGCTGATTGTCTTTGGATCAGGTTTTGGAGCTATGCCTGAGGCCCAGTCTGCAACTACCGGTGGTTTGGAAGGTGTCAAAGGCTAAAATGAACATTATAGAAACTTATTACCATCTCATCAAGTATTTTCAATAACTAAGTTCTTTCCTTTGTCTAACAGAAGAATAAGAATGGCTAGCCAGGAGCAGAGCAGTGGCCTAGTGGATCCAGTATCCTGTCTCTGACAGTGGTCAGTACTAGATACTTGAGAGGAAGGTCTTCACTGAGCTATCCTCAGTGATACTTGGGTCTTTTCCCTAAGTTAGTACAGTTAATTCAGAGCCCAGTAAGGTGGGTGAGTAGTTCAAATTACTCCGGCCAAGGTGCAGTTCTTCGCTGTTTTTTCCCCCCTCAACACAAACTAATCGGCTGCCGCTGCAATTCCTTACATGATTTTTCAGTCTTGACTAGTCTAAAAAACTGTCAGCTGCAAATTTTGCTACTTCATTTTTCACCCCCTGCTCCAGCTCAGTGAGTATATATTGCAGAACACTTGCCATAGTATGGAGCCTGTGGCATCCTGTTAAATGATTGACCATTTAACTCCTCTTTTCTATCCAAGTTTCTGCTTCCTGACAATACTATGTATCCCACCCCATGACTATTTAATTTACTTACTAGCCTTTTGTGAAAGACTTTGTCAAAGGCCTTTTGAACGGTCAATTAGTGAGGCACAATTTTCCTTTATAACGGCTGGTTAGTCTCTGATATCATGAACACTTTTAATTATTGTTTCAACCGATTTACCAAGAACAGCAGTAATTTCCCCATTGCTACTACATTCAGTCCTATGCATTTTGATTAACAGTAGATCAGTTTTATGCAATGTAAGGGTGACCTTAAAAGCCCCTCAGTGCATAATGGCAAAGAGATCACTGTCATATAACAGCAACTGCTATCAGGCCTGACAAACTCACTACACCTAACACTGCTGTCATGGTACTTATCTGTAAAGAATATAGTGTAAGGTGTCAGTTGAAAAAACTTGTATCACACTAGTCATCACAATCACTGTGTGATGTATGTGTGGGTAACCATTACACAGTTGAATATGTTCAACCCAGGCCAGGCTGATAGGCAAGGTTTTCCTAGACAATGGAATGTTGATATCTGTCTGCCTAGGTCTCAATCGAGCATGGTAAAAGAAACTCAAAGCAAGCATATTAAGTCAACAGGAAAAGCAAATTAACACAAGGATGAGAAAACAGCATAGATAACATGGTGTCTGCATGCCAGCAGGGGAGAACTTTGGCTGGTGGCACATGGCAAAAGAATACTTTCCAATGTTTTCTGGACTATAAGAAGGGGGAAGGAACCCCTTGGGAATTAATCACTGAGGGAACAAAGAGGCCAGTGCCTTTTGGACCCAGGGATTCTCAGCTTGTGACGCTGAGAGGTGCCTTTAGGTGAGAAACTTAGACGAGGATTGTAGCCTGTCAAGTTAACTTTTAGTCACCACAAAGTGTTATACTTTTGTTTGTAACCATTTTCTGTTTCTATTATCTTTGCATAGTCTCATTTAAATCTTTGTTCACTTTTAATCAAGAATAAGTTTATTTTATTGTAACTTCATCTCAGGGCTGTAATATTACAGTAAAGTGTGAATCTCCAGCAGAGCTAACAAGCTTTTGTAAGTGTCTGGTGGCAGGGGCTGGATACTGCAAAGGGAAGGCTCTTCCAGGGGGGTTGGGCACTGGGATGCACCAAGTGTTACCTGCAAGGCAAAGTAAGGGCTGACAGAGTCCTAAGGCGTTTGTTTGGCTGGCTAACCAACTGGGGTGGCAGGATGTTGTCAGTTGGTTTAGCATCCGCAAATCTCCCTTTTGTAAAGGCAGAGGGCTAACAAGGTGACTTACAGTTCTGGATGCCCTGAGAGTGTGTCACAGTAAGCAGCTTTCTTTTCCGTGTTTATAAAAAAAATTTGAAAAAATAAAATATTATAAAAATGCCTTGGGGCAGATTATTGGAATTGACGGACGCCTGTTGCTTTAGAAGAATTAGAGTTCACTATCAATGGGGCAACTCATGGGCCTGATGTCTCCACTCCTGCTGATATAAATCAGGAGTAACTACATACATTTCAAATACATAATTGAAATAAATGGAGTTACGCTGGTATAAGAGTGAGAGGAGAAGCAGGCCCTTATATAGCGTTGTTATTACTATTCTGCTCTACTAATATGTTGTTTGTTTGTAACAACGATATATCACAAACACGTCAGTGTCTTTAATGAGCTGTAGCCTAAACCAAAGTGTCTACTAGGGATGAAATTTATATTGCTGTTAAATCATTTTGTTAAGGTTCTGGAAAGGCTCTTACTGCAGCTCGGTGGCTTCTTGGCTCTCGTGCATACGATAGTTCATATATTTCATCTTCAGTGTAGTAAAGATCAAGTGACAGCTGAAAAACACAGAACTGGATTAGTCTCTAAGCAGTTGCTGTTATTCTGTGGATTTACTTGTTTCTGGTGCACATGCAACTTGCTGGTGAATTAATTGTTAATTAAGGCTGTGCTACAAAACCATGCATTTGGGGGAACATGCATTCAAAGCCTGGGTGCTGATAGCAATTTGAAATTGGCATTTGGAAATGTGCCTATCTGTTGTTCCCATTGCCTGAGAAATGGATGCAAGTACAATCACATATCTGCATCTAGCAGTGTAAGTTAATAAGTAACCCAATAACAGTCTGTTGTCCCCATGACATTACAATGGGGGTTCTATCACAACCACAAGAGATGTCTGCCTGTCTGCACTTATGATTCAAACTCTATTTTGGTAGATTTGTCTCCACTCCCAGGTGTGCTGATCTTGTCAAAGAGAAAGGGGCTTAAGGAAGAAGATTGGAGAGGAGCTGAGCTGAGCAAAGGACCATTTGGCAGGGCTACAGGAAGACTGAGCGAGCCCCTCCAATAGAGGGAAGAAGTGTCCACTCAGACCCTGATGAAGAAGCTGTAGCCTAGTGTGTCTGAGTTTTTCCTTCTTTTTGACTATTTGTGGACCCTGGAAGGGGGTAATTTTTGGGGTCATCTGGAGAGCTAACCCAACCAACAGGGGACACTGGGATGCAGACCAAATCTGATAATGGTGGAAGCTGAACTGCACCATTATAGCCCTCAAACAGCATCCGCAAGGGTCTATCACTGGACATGGAGAACCCATCACAGGAGCTGAAGGAGATGGCATATAGCTTCATTGCTATTACTCTTCACCTCAGTCTATGCTGTCATCCTAAAATCTGCTGTTTCAACATCTTGAATTCATCAAACCCAGCTGGGATCATAAACAGTGGGTAAGTACATGCCAGAGCCAGAAGATGGGGTTGCTTATTCATAGTGAGAATCCTGGTGCTACCACCATTAATTTTAGAAAGGGGCTGTTATTGCATCTGGATATGAGAGTTTTTTTTTTTTAAAGCTTGCCTACACCCCCTTTTGCCTTTGTTTCTGCAAATATTCCAGCAAATAAGCTTAGTGGCAGGAAGTTCTTGCAAATAATCGATTCTCAACTGATACTAGATAATTTTCACAGGAAGTGAATTCGGAACTCTTGCATACAAATATTCACACTAGAAAGCTGCTTCTAGGAGTTATGCTTATGTAAGCGACAAAGGAATGTGTGTACAGATCCCGCTCTGTACCCGATCAAGAGCTTCAGTTCAAGCTCCAGTAGCTCATGCCCTTAGCTCTAGAGGTCCTCAGGTCAATTCCTGCTGTACCAGCCAAGATGGCATCTCTCATACTTGTATAAGCAGGGCCCAGAAATATAGCATGTGACATGTCCAAACAAAACTGAACATGGCTGCTCAAGTGTCTGATTTCAAATATATGCAAAAAACCATTTGAACAACCTACAGATCAAGAATTATTATTGCAGAAGTTGATAATTTCAAATAACCAATAAATCTGAAACTGGTTTCTGGCAATTCAAAACAAGCTAATTTTGTCTAATAATATTTTCATTATGAATTAGTCACTCCTCCCTGCAATTACCACCACCTCTTCAAACTGACATGTCTGCTGATGCAAAAGCAGGTGACTAAAGGCGATCGGAAGGAGTAGGATGGAGGCTGATGTGAGCCTGGGGGAGGAATAGGCTAACCCCAGGCCCTGGAATGCCAGAGAGAAGCTACTATTGTAAAGTCTTCTTACAGCAAACCCAGAGTAATGTACATCTGATACAGTCACAAAATACCCACCATTTTCAAGGCTTTGCACTGGAATTGTGAATGGCTGCAGTTGTATATATTTTTGATGTGTAAAATTATTTTTGCTAAAATGTTATGAAAAATAAGAAAGTTAGGAACATAAAATCACTTTAAACAAGGTATTAAAAGTTTGTTTGTTTGTTTGTTTGTTGGAGGGGTGGGGCTGGGGGAAATTCAGTACTTAGCAAGATTCTGTAGGAAAACCTGACTGACTATGGCCCTGATTCAGTAACATAGGTGTTTTACTTCAAGCACATGGGTAGTCCCAGTGGTAGAGCTACTTATGTGCTTAAAGTTAAGTACGTATTTAATTGCTTTGCTGAAACAGAGTCTGTAAGCTGAAAGCAAAACTGGCCCATCTTGTTAAATTGCAACCTGCTAAAAATAAACAGCACAACCTGGGAAAAGTAAGTGCCTATTAATAATTCTTCATGGTTTGATAACACTCTAAGAGCAAATAGAATGTTGGACTGGAAGGGACCTTGAGAGGTCATCTAGTCCAGTCCCCTGCACTCATGGCAGGACTAAGTATTATCTATACCCAGGGTCGGCAACCTTTCAGAAGTGGTGTGCCGAGTCTTCATTTATTCACTCTAATTTAAGGTTTCGCGTGCCAGGAATACATTAACGTTTTTAGAAGGTCTCTTTCTATAAGTCTATAATATATAACTAATCTATTGTTGTATGTAAAGTAAATAAGGTTTTTAAAATGTTTAAGAAGCTTCATTTAAAATTATATTAAAATGCAGAGCACCCGGACTGCTGGCCAGGACTCAGGCAGTGTGAGTGCCACTGAAAATCAGCCTTTGGCATGCGTGCCAGAGGTTGCCTATCCCTGATCTAGACCATCCCTGACAGGTCTTTGTCTAACCTGCTCTTAAAAATGTGCAATGATGGAGATTTCACAACCTTCCTAGGCAATTTATTCCAGTGCTTAACCACACTGACAGAAAGTTTTTCCTAATGTCCAACCTAAACCGCCCTTGCTGCAATTTAAGCCCATTGCTTCTTGTCCTATCCTCAGAGGTTAAGAAGAACCATTTTTTCTCCATCCTCCTTGTAACAACCCTTTATGTATTTGAA